GTAGCAGTTGCAGGTAACAGTTTTTTCCTCTCTGTTTTGAAGTCCCTTTGGTCTAATTTATTTTTATATGGCCTTATATAAGGTGCTTTGTCATGAAAGATTCCAAAGACCTCCTGACACAAATATAAAAATGCAGTTCTTTTTGAGAGAAGGCAGCAGTCCCATGTTGCCAGTTTCTTACATTCAGAAATGGTGAGTCTAAAATCTCACAACTTGTGGGGTTGGCTTGAGAAGTTCATTTTTCTTTGCTTTGTGTATTGTTTTTTTGTTGTTGTTCTTGTTTTCTTTTGTTGTTTTTTTTTTTTTTTAATAGAATGTAATTCTAAAGTAGACTTGATTTTAAAAAGGAGGAAAGTTTTCATTTGTAGAAAAGAAATGAAAGATGCTATGGAAAAAAAAAACAACAAACAAACAAAAGAGAGAAAGTAGAGAGAAAGGAAAGGATATCTCAGCTGGCAGAATACTGCAGATTGTAGATTTCAGGAATTCCCCAAATACTATAATATCTAAAGAATCAGCAGGAGAGGAAATGAAGCCATAGTATTTGGGCCTTCTGAATCTTTAACACTTGTCCAGGGCACGAGAGTGCAGACTTAATTTCAGCAGATGCATTCCAGTATTGCTTTTCTGTGCCCAGCTTGATTACCTTGTCTGGTTAAATGATGAAATTTTTCCTGTCTGCATTTGAATGGTTAGTCCTTGTGTAGTGAAGGTTGCATTACTCTTGTAGCATGAATCATTGTCCACCGAATTGGCATTATGTTATTAATACTACATAGATATAGTCCTTAATATTTAAAATGTGTCAGATAAATACTAAGAAAGCCCTTCTTATTAGCAATCCGCTTTTGAGTTAGATATAACTTCTCATATTTGTAGCTATTTGACTGTGCCAGGTGTCTGCCTCAGGCTGAATTCTTTGGTGTTCTTTGGTTTGTTTGTTTTCTCCTTTTAATGTCAACCATAGCAACTCTGTTATTCCTGAGAAGTTTGCTGGAGAAAATCACCCAAAACAAACCTGGTACACTTTTTAAGGGGCTTAGTGTGACCTTCTCCTGGGGGAAGGCACTTAGCCTTTAGTGAAGGGGTGACTGATCTGCCGGAGATGTGCTTCAGTGTTGGTAGATTCAGATGGAAAACCTGCCACGATGTGAATGATTTATGATGAACTTTTAACTTTTACCTTAAGGCTTACCTTGTTCTTACAGAGACGTGTTAGAATATGATGTAAAATATGGCCATCCATGCTTAATGACTTCAGCTCTGATGCCAAACTCCCCTGATGTGTGCTGCTCCCCTCCAAAACTAGCAGCGCCTTCCAGCCCCAGTCAGGAATCTGTGTTTCTGGTGATAATACCAGTGGTGCTATGTGCTTTAGCCATCTTTTCTGCCTGTGTTCAGGGGTTGTTTTTACCTCACTCATGTTTTAAAAAACAAACCGTAAAAAAAGAAGCATCCAAACAAAATAAACCCAGAGCAAACCTTAACATTTGACTGCGCTTTGAATTCCTGAAACAACTTTGCAAAGGTCTACCAAAAAAGCAGGTTTTTATCAGTAAACTTTAAGATAAGGGCAAGACAGATCTATATTAATTTTTCTATCTTAATGAATTTAACAGCGAGATGCTTCCAAGGTGCTTAGTGCATGCATCATGGAAGGGGGACATTGCTTTTCAGTAAGTACCTGTGTGGTCTCACATTGTCCAGTATCTCTCACCCCTGGCAGTCCAAGCACAGGACCTAAGACTGCAGCAGATGCCTTCCTTCCTTCCTTCTGTGAAACCCCAGTGCGCTCTGATGTGTGCCCTGAAGGGGTTCAGTTGTGCTTGTTGGTGTTCTGAGAGGCTTTTCTGCATTGTGCCTCTTCCACCAACCCAGAAGTTGCAGCCATTTGTTAGAATGACGCAGTAGATTGAAAATATGCTATACCAGAAACAATCATTATGTGATTTCACTTCACTTACAAGTTAGAATATTGCTTCTTTTAGTGGTATTTATACCTTCCGAAGCGAATACAAGGAAGCATTTTTGTTGTGAAATTTCTCTGCCGTTTTTCTCTGGATTGATGCTCTGGAGACCAGAGCAATTCTTAGGGAATTTGTAAGTACATTTCATCTAGTTTTATTTTCTTAACTTTGCACTTCTCTTTAAAAATCGAGTAGTTTCTCATTTTTTGAGCTTCTAAATTATATTGCTCATTAAATGCCTCCCGTTGTATGTCTCTATAATTCATAAAAAAGTATAGTGATAATTTTCTTCAAAGAGAGTGCTTCAGTGTGCGTAGCGTATATCTGGTGTTGTTGCCCTTTATGCTTTACAACTGATATATTATAGAACAAGCAAAACTTAAAAAAATAAAACTAGTTGTGTTCAGAAAATTATGCTTGCTGTATCACAAGCTGTTGTTGTAGTGTTCAGAGAAGTTTGCATACCTTATGGAGTGAGCTGCATGTTTTTCTGGCTGAGGTGCGTGTACTGTACTCATTACGTTTGTGCACACTTCACTGACTGAGCTGCATGGGCTACTTCGACTATCACCAGGAATACTTGACTGAGTTCTGCTGCTTATTTGAGCGCTTCGGTTTGTGTGCTTTATTACTTCAGCGGTGTATGTTGATAAAGTTCTGTTCTGTGCCGTTAAATTTTTCATTCTGCCAATCTAACTGTATGCCGTGCTGGGAGAACTGCATGCATTGCTAACTGCTTACTCTGCGGTGAACACGAGTGGCTGAAATGTTATAATCTGCAGTGCTTTGTTAAATGAGCTGCATATTTTTGTTTTTGTATACGTTGCTTACCCAGTTGTGTACATTTGCCCTGCTCATTATACAAAATAAGCCTGATTGGAATAAGAACATTGTCTACCAGCTGTCTGCTCTGAGTCAGTATGCAACAAAATTAGCAACTTTCTCTTTCCAACAGTGGCATGATTGCATCCAAAGTTTAAGGCAATTGGTTTGGAGATCTTGTTTGTTTCATTCACTCTGTGCAAACATGGAGATTGACAAACCAATTTGTAGCAACTTAATTTGTTTTCACAAATATGAAAGAAGTTGAGTAACAGAGGAAAAACTCAGCACTGTAGTATAGGAAAATGATTTATGTAGGTTATGAAATGCATGTGTGTGTGTATATATATATATATATATATATATGTATATATATATAAACATACCTACATATAAGGCTATAAGCTAGATAATTATATGTAGGATAGAAAATAACTGGAGATCTCTTAAGTTAGATATTTCATCAAATAAGCAACATCCTCAGTGCTGAAAATTACAAATATAAAGTTATATAAACTGTGTACTTCCACTAAGAGTTTATTTTTATAACTTACCTCGTGGCTGTTACAAAAACTCAAAATACTTCTAAGTACCTGTAAATTCATGTGCATAGATACGTAGCTTGCTCATTAATGTTGATGCAAAACTGAATTAGCAGCTTTAAGAAAGTGGTGGTTTTTTTAGCTAGCTAACTTTGAGCCATTTCCAGTAAAACCCACAGATTATTCTTAAATTTTGACTAATTTGCAGGGTTTGCATACGTAGCAGCTTCTGCTTGCATTTATGAAATCTTCAGTGCTACCATGCTTCTAAAAACCTTTGTTTTTTTTCTTGAGTACAGAGATGCTTAATTAGAAGTATATGTGTGTAGTTTGCCTGGATTCTTACCTGCCCCACGTGCAAATGTAACTGTATCTGGCTCCTGTTGTCAGTGTCCCACTGCTGATTGCTTTCACTTCAATGTTATAATTCACTGTGTTCTGAACTGACTGCCTGGAAGGTCCATGTTTGTTTTTGTGAAATTTTACATATGAAAGCTTAATTGATCTTATTGCTTCAGTCAGAATTGCTAGATTTCAAGCAGTGGCCACTTAATTCTCAGCCTTCCCATGAATCATTATTTAACAATGTAAATATTATAATAGTTTGCTGTAAAAATATATTTGTGAATATCTAGGGGCAAATAAAATTTTTAGCAGTCTTCACTGATAGCAGCGGAAAATAAATGTACAGAGAGAAATACAAATGAAATGTATTAGTATATCCTGGAACATCATATCAAAGTTAATTTAGTGTTCATGTTTCAGTTTTTCTGTGTACACTAATGTTGCATATCAGAAGTATGAGAAACCAGCTATATTGGATTTAATATCTGTAAGGTTAATGTAATACATGAAATGAGCTTGGTCTACTCCAGACTTTCTTAACAGAAACAGGCTAAGTAATTCTGCATGAAGTGATTTACAGCAGACAGATGGTAGGGAAGAAGGTTTTGTCTTTTTTTCTTCCCTCTGCATGAATTTACTTTTGGTATCAGTCCATTACCAGTGAAGATCTAGACTTTTCTCTCTTTGAACCGTTAAATGCCAGCTGTAGTCTCCCCAAGCTATCAGTGTATACTAAGATGAGAATTGGGCTCTCATCACTACCTTATTCAAACCAGCGATGGCTATGTGCAATTTCTGATGTATAAGTATGCTGTGTAGTTTTTACAGAAGAGAATTCTTACTTTTGTCAGACAGAACGAAGAGAAATAACCTTTTCTTTGGGGGAAAAAAAGATCAGAAGTTTTTATTTTTCCTGTTGCTGAGTAGAAATAAGAGTCTTTAAGAGATGAAGCAGTTGAAAGGTTTTTGTGAGATCAGTTTACCTATCTGCCTGCTTTCCACCAACATCTTCAACAGATAAACTGGACTTGCTTTTCTGTTTTTGAATCTGAGTAACCTATTTGTTTGTGTGGATAGGATTCCTACCAGAAAACCATTTAAATTTAAGTTTACATTCAAAGTACGTTACTGCTGTGAGATGTAAAGTGTAGGCTATCAAAATACTAGGAATAGACTGTGTTATCTGAGATCTGTGGAGACTAAAAGTACTTCAAAGCGTAAGATACATATCCATTCCATATTTTTTGTTTTTATGCAGCTGGTATATACGATAAATGTGTAGAGTATTTCATAATTTATAACTGAGATTTATTTCTTTTTCTAGAGAGTAATTTTCAATGTCGTCAACTTCAGTAAAACAAAAAGCCTCTATAGAGATGGAATGGCTCCAATGGTGAAATCCACAAGCAGACAAAAATGGTAAGTTATCATTTCAAAGGCTTGCTTATTGGGAGAAAGTGTTTTACTTGGGATTCTTTTATAGTGAAGACCTTCTGGCTTAGGTGGAGCTTTTAGTAAGAGTAAGAATGAATTTGAATGTGTGAGCAATGTTGTGAGAATAGGTTCTCTTTGGTGCAAGTGATCTGGATGAATTCTAGAGGCCTCTTCAAGCCTTGCTGTGATGATGTTTCAGTGTCTTGTTCCAAAAAGTGTGACTGAAGCTATGTCTGTTTGAACACACTGAACAGTGGGGGCTTTGGCTAAATTGCTGTTCAGTCATCTCCTTACCATCCAGCTGTGAGCATGGTCTCTGGCTCTGGTTTGGCTTGTTTAACAGTGCACTCTTCCAAATGCTTGCAAATGCTATGAGGTAAACAGAATTTCTAAAAGGCTTTTTGGATTCGGTCCCCTTGTTTTTGGGAAGTCGCAGTTAAGAGCGTGAACTCTGCCCTCTGAGTTGACTTCAATTCAATAAGCAGTATTTGGTCTTTTATATATTGATGTAGATGCAGCTGAAAACACCAGAAGGTCAAACAACTTGGTCACAAGTTATGCAGTATATGCATAGAAAATCATGCAGATATGGAACACAAATAGATGGTGCATTTTTTAGACCAACTGTAATGAAATGTCTACTGTGAGTAATATGTAAATCTAATGAGTCTAAATGTATGCAAGACTCTCAAGAATTATATAATTTGTCTTTAGATTTATTTGAATATGGATAGTGAGATTAGACCACAAGTGTACAGTAACATATTCTTGTAAGTCTTTATTGGTTAATTATTAATCTTATGTAATCTGAGTCTTATAAATATATCTTCCTTAAATACTTGAGCAATCAGAAAACTTCAGTTCACTGAGTCTTAACTTTTGTGACTGTAAGATCACTTCCTCTTTGTCTGACCAACAGGTAGGCCTATTTATATTTATTTTTTTGAAATTAGATAGAAAGGTCATCTGGACAGAAAAAAGCTGCATCTGAAAACAGCGAGTAGTTGGAGTCAATTTCAGCTCAATAGGTGTATGTAATAATATTGAAAATTAATTAAAAAATCCATTTTTTTTTTTGTAGCAAAAATCATGTTACTTGTTTATCATTTAACTTCCAAAAAACCTTTTTGGGGTATTTTGGGGAAACATCAGACTTTAATCATATTTCAGAACCTTTTCTTTCTCTCACTGGAGTCTGGTATTTGCAGCTAAGTATATTGTGTGTTAAGTCTATATATAAATCAGATATTGCTTTCATACAAATTTTATGCCTTACTTTGGTTTCAAATTAAAGTGTAAATCTTACAAAACAATGCAAAATGGGGTTTTTCTAGAACATATAGGCTCCTTCACTATTTTTAAAACTGATTTCTCCTTTGCTTCCCAGGAGATCTATTTATTTTTGTGTTTTATATTTTTAGGGGGATGTATTTTGCTCCTATGAAAGTGAGGAATGAATAGCATTGCCTGGAGCCATGCACAGTGTAGGCAGCAGGTGCAATGCAGCTTCCTTTTACAGGGCTACAACCATACTTTAATCCTGTTTCGGAAATCCTTGCTCTAATTTCTTTCTTTAAAAAAGATAATTATTGCATTAAAATATCTTTTCTTTTTTCTAATAGCCCACGTATGAAAACTTGCTGTACCTTGAAGGTGTGAATTAATTCATACTGTTATCAGGGCCCTCAGTGATATTGGGGTCTCCTCAGTATAATTGTCTTGATGTTATAGGAATTATATGTATATTTTTCAAGAGGGAAAACACAGATTATTTTTGAATACATGCTTTCTATTAGAGCTGCCTTCCACATGGTTGTGCCTCTTGCAGTAGCTTCTTTATCTGTTTCCATGGTGTTCTAATGAAATCTGTAAATATAATTTTCTGTTTCTCTACTGAAATGAAATAAGACTTCCATGCACATGCAGTGTTCAGGTAGTTGTGGTGCTTGAACACAAGTAGGGCAACTCTTGGCTTGCATTGATTTGGTCTTGTTTGATGCTTCTTATGAATTAATCTAGAAAGCAGTACTGAATTGAGTTGCTTCATGCTGCTGAAATACTGAGGTTTACATGAACGTACTCAAGATTCAGAGTTGTTGAAGAGTGATGCTCTTCACCTTATACTAAAAATTAAACAAGCATAGTGATTTAGTAAATATAATGTAATTTGGTAGAAAAAGCAGATATTAATTACAGGAAGTTGAAGAAACACAACATATTAAAAAAAAAATTCAAGAAATAAAACTACTAGAAGCCGTGTTCTATGGATTTTCCATATTTTCCATAGCTTCATCTCTGAACTCTTCTGTACTAAATATTTTAGGAACTCGCCATTATTGTGCCTGCCTGTAGAGGCATGTGATACATACTGAAATTCTCCTAACTTCCTCTAGCTACACTGGCAAAAGCAATGCTATGTCATACACAACTATTCTGCCTTTTTAAATACAATCAGGTTTGAGTTTTATGATGGCAGTATCTAATATTTGTTTTGCATTTGAGCAGTGTTATGCTTTTCTGACTGAAATAAAAAAGTTCCCGCTGTATTCAGGATAGAATTTGACCATATAGCTTGCAAAATCCTCTGTATCAAAAGCAGATTGGCTTCCAGAGACAGTGAATTTGAATGTTTGTTTCGAATGTGGTTATGTGAACATGGCTCCGAGCTTTGCGTTGTTTTGCGAGTTTGATTCTTGACTCTGGAACAAATCATTGCCAAGTGCTCTTGAAGTAGAGTGTGTCAAACACAGATCAACATTTTTGACCCGCATTCTCTTGCCCTGTGGGGTAAGATCTTTAAATGCAGTCAGCATCAAGGTTTAGCTCAGTGTTAGTGATGTAAATGGGGTATATCACTGTCATCAAAGCACTCTGTGTGGACACAGATGTTCTGGTGTTGACATATTCTTCTCTTTTGAAGTAAAGCCAAACATTTCCAGTAATGAGCTACTTAAAAAGGGGAAGCAGTATGCTGAATGATAAGGAAAAACCAGATTTCATGGTAAAGAATAAGATTATTTTTTAAAAAGAAAACCAGGAAAATGATTAAAAAGATATGCATTTCCACTGTAAATGTTAATGGATTTACTGAATGCTTATTCACAAGAAATAGAGGCAAAAAAATAGAAACACGTTTCGTGTCTCTATTTCTGTTTCTCTGGGTGTGTTTTTTTGTGGGCATGCTAGGTTGCTACTTAATAGTATAGGGTTGTGTCAGTTACATCAGTCAAATCTCACCATAGTGAATCACAGCTCATACATAGAAAAGCAGTGCTGTCACGCCATGTTACAACAGTTACGTTTCAAAAAATGAAAATCAAGGCTTTATTTCAAGCCAGTGGAATCGGCCACGTATGGTCACTTAGCATTTTTGCTGACAATTATCTGCTAATCTGGAATTATTACACTGAGATTTTGGGTAAATAGTGTTTTTTTTCTTCCTTGATAATGACTCCTTCAAATAAGAGGATCAGTGTAACAGACACCTGTTCTGTTTGGGTCTTTCTGATTTGTGGAGGTGAAGAGCTGAGATCGAGGTGGGTTACAGTAAATTGCATTTTTGCTACACTGATGCAATTTTTAGTTTCTCTCTTTTGTGCTTCATTTTAGTGTGATCTACTCTGGCTGCGGTTTCTTAATCATTTCAAACTGAAATCTCTGTTCTTAGAAGCTATTACAATCTACCATGTGGGCATGGCTGTGGAAGACCATTTAAGTACATATACCTCATCATTATATTCTATGAAGTTTTACAACTTTCTCAAAGTGAAATAGAAGAGTGACTTGGTAGGCAGCAGATTTTCCAAATGATGAAGTGAGCAAATATTCCCTTTGGGCAGAGAACAGCTATAACTCTTGATTATTCAATATGAGCATTGCCTCATTGGGGACATTAGTTTTTTAAATTGTGCTAATCTTTTAAAAGTAACAACTGGCCACTCATCACCTTAGGTATTTCAGCAAGATCATGTGCAGAAGTCTAATTAGTATTTATAGAACAGCAACTCCTCCCAGTAGAATAGTAGTGGTAGCTGGCAAATATCTGGTTGACACCTGTTAAGTCTTCAGACATCCGTTGTATTTTATTCTGCATTTCAAATGAGCAGAGAGCAGTAGGTGAAGTCCCCGTAATTAAGGGACAAAGGATAATAAATAACATGGTTCTTGAGTGGATGAACACAAGGTTAAAGGCTGCTCTGCACTTGTGATACTGTATCTCAGGAAATGTTTGTATGTAAGTAATAATGCTAGCTCAAATGCTATGGAAGCTACATCATACAAGAGAAGATTTATGTCTAGATGTAAACGTGTTTTGTTTATAATGTCAGATTTTAAACTGCTTCTTGGCAAAGCCGTCACTTTCTTTCCCGTTTTTTATCTCACTTAGCATTGATAGCTTTTAACTGGATAGCTGCCTTCGCCAGAAAGCACTCCCCTACCTCTGTTGCTATAACATCTACTGTTAAATTCTCACAACACATTGCTTCTAAAGTGTTTTCCTTTTGCAATAAACCTGGAAATACAGAAGAAAATCTAGGTAATTAATTCAAATTTGAGAGTATATGCAACTTGGTAAATATTGTCATGATGAAGAATTTTGGTAGACATGGAGAACAGCAATGCAAGTTTTATGAACAATACTCCCATATGTTCCATTCATCAGAAGGGGACAAGACTGAGAAAATCTGCATTTTGAGTAGCTGAAACGTGTTGTTTCTTGCCAAGTTTCTTTAACATTTGTCTACAATGCAGTGTTACAATCACTACCATGTCTATCAGGCTGCATTATACATTCAGAGACTTCCAACAGCGTTTTTAGTATGTATTTATATATCTTTAGCCATAAGATAAGCTGTTTGTGGAATGAGCTGTCATTTGTGGTGAAATAGTTTGAGAATAAAGCACTAAATATATATAAGGCTTGCTAATCTGAAAGACTAGTAGTGCATACCGTAAAATATATGGTGGACCAGGGTTATTGGTAA